TTGACGAGAAAGGTTGGATATAAATAGTAAATGATTTTTAGCCAACTATAATAACAACGTGGAAATTTCAATGGATATTGTTTAATAATATATATACTGTATGCTCTGGTTTTGACAAAAGAAACTTGGATACAAACTCTAAACAACGAGTTGAAAAAAAAGGAAAAAAGGTTTAGAAACTTTATTAATTTACTTTTACTTAGAACATTTCATAAGGGTGTAGTGTTTTTGGAAGATTTTTGAAATAACTAATGAACACTATTATGTGGTTGTGTCCTTAATATGAATTATTTGAGGTAAAATCACGTTCAAATAATTGTAGTCAAATGAGAATTGTGGTACATTGATAGTAAGATATACAATTTTTTTTTATTTAAAGTGTATAATCTAATATGAACTATAAATGATGACTGCAGAAGAAATGCATGAAAGTTATCTGTAACCAATCGACACGCTTTCTACAAGATGTAATGAAAGATGATTCTTTTTTTTGTATTTTTGTTTAATTAAAATAAAAAAAACTTTTCAAAAAAAAATAAAGAATCCCCCCCTGCTTAATTGTTGTGTTGAATTGGAAAATAAAGGAATTCTTTACAAATGTTAACAATGTACTCTGCTTCCCTTTGCATAATTTGAATTACTATATATCAGATGTAGTATTCAGCAGGTTCTGACCAGTTCTCGAGAACCGGTAGTGGAAATTTTGAGTAGTTCAGAGAACCAGTAAATACCATCTATGACTGGCGCTGCCCAATCTATTCTCTGCCTCCTGAATCCCAGCTGATCAGGAGGGAATGGGGATTTTGTAGTAACCTTCCCCTGGAGTGGGGTGGGAATGGAGATTTTACAATATTCTTCCCCTGCCACGCCCGCCAAGCCACATCATGCCCACCAACCCACACCCATAGAACTGATAGTAAAATTTTTGAATCCCACCACTGTTTTATATAATAAACAGTGAACAATCCTGGATAAAGAAATGTTGGCAGTGCAGTTTCTAGGGTTTATCCATAATCTTTTTAAATGGAAGTATAATAGATGCAATTTATTTTCCATACTGCATCTGCAGTCCTAAATATGCTTCTTTGGGACTATGATTGTGTGTGTGTGTATGTGTGTGTGTATGTGTGTGTGTGTTGCTAAGTGTGTAAGAATGTCTGTGCTGATTATATTGCTGCCGCCATGCAGTTGTACTACTTGCAAAACAGCAGGTAGTCATAGTAGTGTCAAAGCTTAGCTCTGCTCTCAACCGGCCTGCAGGAAAAAAACACAATCTGTTCTTGCAAGCCAGTGCTAACCACATGAGGTATTGTATGTTAATGGCAAATACTTTTGAGCAGGTATATCTAATTCATATCATTAGGCTGCCTAAGCATATATTCTTGGAAATAAGGATACAGTGGCTTAAAAGTGAAACTACTAATTTCAATAGGTATTAGTCTTACATCCATAAGTATATAATTATGCTATAAGCGTCTTTGACTTGAATGAATAGGACAAGTGAATAAATAAGTTTAGGACTGCATGAGTATCACATTTAAAGTTCTCCAAAACCTTTTCCTTACTTTCTGAAGAATTTCTTGTATTTCTTTCTTTCAGTGAGAGCAAGGAAAAAAAGTTGGCACAGAACAATGTGTACGAACTGTAATAGTGAACACATAACTGAGGGATGCCGCAAAAGGTGTAAATGCATGCTTTCTTTTCAAAATTAGTTTTTCAGTACCATCCTAATTTCAAACAGTTGCTGCACAAAGTAATCAATGTGAAAACATCCTGTATTGTATTTGATTGTATTATTAATTTTTTAGTTTTTATATTTTAGGAAAGAAAATGTAGCCATTTTAATATACCATTATCATATAATTTGCATTTTACTCATACAATTTATTACATTGCACAATTTTTACTTGGTTAGGGAAAAACGGCACAAAATATTTTTTTCTATACATAGCATGTCAGAAATTAGAGAGAAAGTTGCTACTAAGAATGTCATTTTTTAGAACACTGCTGTGTTTATTTGTAACTCTGTATATTTTTAGCCTTGAGTGAGATTTTGTATTTGTATTTGTATTTATTATACTTGTATGCCACCCTATTCCCGGGGGGACTCAGGGCGGCGAACAAACACATGAGGAAGGGGGCAATACAAAAACAAACGAGACAAACAGGATACAAAGACAAATTAAAAACTACACAACAATCAGCAATTCGAGTGGGGCTGGGAACTCATCAGCCCCAGGCCTCCGGAACAGCCAGGTCTTGACAGTTTTGCGGAAAGCCTGAAGGGTGGTGAGGGTCCGAATCTCCATGGGGAGATCGTTCCATTTTGAGATTTTAAACACACCAAACTATAAATAATGTAGAAATCAAGCCTTTTTACATCAGTATTGGCATATCTAGCTTTGTTATACTTTATACTGTGGATGAGGATCAATAGTGGGTTTAAAAATTTTAAAAAATCTATTCTGTAGGTGCGCCCTGTTTTGTGGTAGTGGGAACCCATGCAGAGGGAGGAAAAACGCATGGATTCCCCCCCATTGGAAATGAGGTGGCTGTCAAAGAGAAGGGAGCACGCGTCACTTGGGTTTGTCCAACAGCTGAATCCTCACCTCCTGTTCCTTCTTCGGCTGTTGGACAAGCCCACATGGCACGCACTGCTCCCTTCTCTTTGACAGCTGCCTCATTTCCAATTTGGTGGGGGATCCATGCAGAGGGAGGAAAAACTCATGGATTTCTTCCCCATCCCCAGTGAAAACCAGGTGGCTGTCAAAGAGAAGGGAGTGGGGCAAGCCTGGTGCAGAGAGGTGGGGCGAGCAAGCAGTGACTGGATGGGTGGGCAGGGGGAGTAAGTGGGGGGGCAGGCCAGGGGAGGGAGCATTCTGGTATGGGGCCACCGGAAGGCACGCTAAATTTCACCAACCAGTACACCCATACTGGAGCGCACCAGCTGAAATCCATCCCTGATATGGATGTGATTTCTTTCTGGATCAAGGTCTTAAACCAGCATTTTGCTTTGGATAAGTTGTCACTACATTAATTGATTAACATATTAGTGTGATTAATCTGGTTGATTCATACTAGTTCACATATTAGTTTTCTTCACTGTCTTGTGCAAAATCTACTACAATGTGATTTTACAATAATCAAGGCAACTTCACCTTTATCTTGTTACAGCAACTTTGCTTTTACTTTGTTACTGGACAGCTGCACTACATTTCAGCTTCTTCATCCAGAAAAATTTCTACCATTTCCATTGCTGTTTGTTATATATCTGCTAAAATCATAGAACTCTAACCATAAAAGTGTGGCAAATCATGTCCATGCATGTTTAGTAGTATTACTGGAAGAAATAAATATTAGATTTCTTACGTTCTTTAAGCATGAACACAATACTTGTAGAAGTCCTGGAATATTGCAACCAATTTTTGTTACCATATTACAAAAAAAGATGTTGAAATCTTCGAAAAAGTTCAGAGAAGAACAACTAAGATGATCAAAAGTCTGGACACTAAAACATTTCAAGAATGGCTGCAGGATTTGGGTGTGACTAGTCTAAAGAAAAGAAGTATTAGGGGTGACATGTTAGCGGTATTCTAGTATTTGAGGGGTGAGAATGGCTGGGAAAATAGCAAGCTCTGAAGAGCCTTGTGAAAAACCCAGCTGGTGAACCATCATCTTCAGGCCAAAACCATCCTGGAGGGACGGCGAAGAAGGAGAGGCATTTTGAATGACTGTCAGGAGCAAGGCAAGCTCCTCAGCAGGTCTGAAACAAGCTCTCCAGACCAGCGGCATATGTGGTGGCCATCTTCAATGACCGGGCATCTGGATCAAGTTTGGAGCAGGAGCAGTGATCAGACGGAGGGTTGGAACCAGGAGAAAAGCTGGCTGACCCCAGGATAAAAAAAATTAAATTCAGAGCTTAAAAAAATCTGTCCAAAGATTAAAATAGCAGCTAAGTGATGCTTGGAAAACAAAGAGAGGAGCAAAAAAAAAAGGAGAAAAAACAGTGACTGCCCAAGAATTTTGTGGCTAATACAATTGGATTTGGATTTGGAGACAACAAAAGGGAAAGACATGGAGAAAATAGAAAAATTTGTATTGTATTGGATTTGAAAATTTGGATTTCTGAAAATTTTGTTATTGATTTGACTGTTTGTGGGATTGTAAAAATCATCTACTAGAGGAAAGAAAGCACAGCAACATATTGAAATAAAGGACAATAGAAAAACCAGATGTTGAACACAGAAAAGATAAGTGGAAGAATTTCTAAGGAGTGTACGGCCATTTTCTGTTGTTTGACTTTGTTTTGCCATGGCAGAGAAAGAAAGTTAAAAATTGTTGAAGTGGACTGTTTTACTTTGGGATTGGATATTACAACTGGGAAAATTTGGAAATAAAAGAAATATCTAAATTAAGTGTGGTAAAATATAAAACATTAAAAATTGCTAAATTTTGAACCTGGAGTGTGGGAAGTTTGAAGAATTATTTGAAATTTTAAAAGATGGACATACAACATTAAAAGATATCAAAGTACCAGAAAAATAATTGAAATATAAAGAACAGGAAATAGGAGAGGAACAGACAAAGAGGAATGCAAATGAAATACAAAAGGTTAACATAGTGGGGGGAAAGCTGAAAATAAAAACCAGTTAGACAATTTTATGCAGATTTATAGAGACACAAAAGAAGCAGAGAGTGGAAAAGGAAAATGCCATCCAAAAAAGAAATGATCCAAAAACAAACAGAAATAGTGGGAAGCAAAAAATAGAAATCCGAGGTGGGGTTACTCAAATAATTCATAGAAGAATGACAGAAAAAACTCAGAGAAAGTGATATAATACATATTTTAAAAAAAACAAGAAAAAACAGGGAATTCAAGAGGTGGGGATAGAAGGACAAACAGAAAACTGATGAAAAATGGAACACTAAAACGAGTAAGAGATGAATTGAGAGAAAATGGTTAGGTAAGGAGGAAGAGAATGACAAGATCTATGGAAAATGAAATATGTTAATACTGCCAATGATATATAGTTAAACAAAATATTGCAAAAAAAAATAAAATTCTACAAAGCACCAGAGGGCAGGACAAGAAACAATGGTTGGAAACTAATCAAAGAGCAAAGCAACTTAGAATTAAGGATAAACTTCCTAACAGTGAGGACAATTAACCAATGGAACAGCTTGCCTTCAGAAATCATGGTCTCCATCACTCCATTGATGTTTTAAAGAAGAAATTAGACAGTCACTTATCTGAAATAGTATTGATCCATGATGGCAAACCTATGGCACACCTATGCCACAGGTGGCATGTAGAGCCATTTGTTAAGGCATGCGAGGCATGTGCACACTGGCCAGCTGACTTTTGCCCTACCCTGAAGCCTCCGGAGGGTGAAAAACGGCCATATGGGCAACCCGGAAATTCAGGAACGGTGACTTCTGGTTTGTTCATAGGGGCATTTTTCAGGAATGGGAAGCCTCCTGAAGCCTCTGGGTGACGGGGGGGAGGCTGGTTTTGCCCTTTCCAGGTTCGTAGAAAGCCTTTGAAGGCAGGAGAGGATGAAAAAAGGGTTCATCGCAGACGAAAAGTGGGGGGAAGGGTTTCCCCCATGCACATAGCATTATGGGTGTGGCACACCTGTCCATGACCCACCTGCACTTCCCCTACTTTGGGAATGTGGTCCAAAAAACATTAGCAATCACTGGTATAGGTCAATGGGGGTGAACTTATGGCACATGTGCCAGAGATGGCACACAGAGCCCTCTCTGTGGCCATGTGCGCCATTGTCCCAGCTCTGTTTTGGATCTCTGCCACACTTGGACACGTGCCTCCCACCAGCCAGCTGGTCTTTGAATCTCTGCTGCAAATGTGCAGAGCTCGTGCATGCACTGGGGCCTTGCAGTTTGGGCACAAGCATGCACTTTGGGCACTCAGTGCCTGAAAAGTTTGCCATCACTGGTATAGGTTCTCTTGCTTGAGCGTGGGCCTGGACTAGAAGACCACCCAGGTCCCTTCCATATTCTATTTCATTCCATTCCTTGACCCCTTTCCCATACTATTCTTCCATACGGTTCACTGTTCAGATTGATATTATTTTGATTTTCCAGTTTTTTTTTCAATTGTGGTATTTGAAACAGGAATGATTTGTTTGACATTAGAGTTAGCATACATCACATATTCATGCATAACTGTTGTGTCCAGCAGGAGCCGTTGGAGCTGCCGACAGACTCCGATAGCAAGGGACCATATGAGTCAGCTCTGGACGATGTGAAGGACTCTGAAGGGGTTCAGACTCTGAGCAGGGACCAGAGAGGCTGGTTGGCCACCAGGAGGCGCCTGAGGCATGGAGCAGCAGTGAAAGCCAAAGGAAGTTTGTCCCTGACGTCAGGCCCTGGAGCAGTGGGAAGGAGCAAAGGGAGTTGGACCTGGATGCCAGGCAGAGACGGGCAGATAAGCGCAGGCAGCATTTACGGAGACATAGAAGATAATTAGGTGGTTGTGATTTGGCTCCTCCCAAGAGAGTATATAAGAAGAGACTTTGGGAGGAGACCTTTTGCAGGACACAACCATTTTACTAAGCTGGAGAAGCTCTTGTGTGTATTTCTTATCTGTGGGAGTTGCTGCCAAAGTCTTGTCTGTGAGTAATTACTGTGAATAAAGTAATAGCAATAGCAATAGCAATAGCAA